AATTCTGAGTTCCGAGTTTTCCTCTCTCCTCCTCAGACCCAGACTTTAGTCGAGTCAGTTTAGTCAGTCCAATCAGTGCTTCTGCACCTGTTAAATTTATTGTTTATGTTGTAGTTTGCGTGTATTAATAGCAATTCACGGTATTAAAATATTCTAAGCAGTAGGTAAATATACTTAAATTTATACAAAATCATAGATAAATTTTGAACTGGGCGTAAGCGAGCATTCGATACTAGTGAAGTATCAACAAGTGCACAGGGAGAGTGGTTCTAAAAATAATCAAGAAAATATTCTCAAGATTACTTAAATTTTGGGTTTACGTTTACTGAAGTAAATGAAGAAGAACGGCCTCTATTTATCATTTGCTCAAAAATTTTAGCAGCCGATAGCATGAATCCAAACCCGTACCTCGGAGGTAAAAGACACTATGTCCATTTTCTTACTTTTTAAGGAGAGCAGTTTTAATATTTTTTAAATTTGTAATTAGTAAATACTCAAATGTTTCTAATATTTAACCAAAATTAATATAATATATTAGGAACAAGAGAGGCAATTTTATGTTTGAACACCTTAATACAAAACTGCTTAGATCAACGAAAAGATGTCTACCTCACCTTCATCGACTACGAGAAGGCATTTGACAATTTTAAACATGATATCATGATAGAACTACTACATAGGGCCAACATTGACCAGAAGGAGATCAGAATTATTTAGAATCTATACTGGAACCAAATGGCAAAGGTGAGGATTGATCAAGACCAATATACGGAAGAATTTGAAATCCGGAAAGGTGTCCGCCAAGGCTGCATACTCTCTCCGATGCTTTTTAATTTATATGTTGAAAATATATTTGCGGAAGCATTAGAAGACACGGAATTAGGCATTAAGGTGAACGGCATACCAATTAGCAACCTACGCTCTGCGGACGACACAGTAATTACAACTGATAATTTGGAAGATCAGCAGTTATTACTTGATAGGGTGAATAGATAGGTAAAAAATATGGCCTCAAAATCAACATTTTAAAAACGAAATATATGGTCATTAGCAGAAACCCTCCAGAAAACCCGATAATATGCATAGGTGCATAATACGTATATAAACGCAGTGAAAACTTTTAAATACCTTGGCACCACAATCAATGACCAATCGGATCCACAACACGAGATAAAAACCCGAATACAAATGGCAAGACAAGCTTTTGTGAAATTCAGACCGCTCCTATGTAATCAAAACCTAAATTTCGAAATATGCTACAGAATGGTCAAGTGCTACATATGGTCTATCTTGCTTTATGGCATGGAAACGTGGACTTTGAAAAAAACATCTATCAACAAACTTGAAGCATTTGAAATGTGGTCATTGAGAAGAATGGTGCGCATACCTTGGGTGGATAGAGTTCGAAACGATGACGTCCTTAAGAGAGCCGGCGTGGAAAGAGAACTCTTTGAATTAATTAAAAACGCAAGATTGGTTACCTTGGGCACATATTGAGAGGAGCAAAATATGAAATACCACAGTTAATCCTACAAGGGCAAGATCGAAGGTAGGAGAGGAGCCGGCCGCAAACAATTATCCTGGTAAAGGAATATTAAAGAATGGACAGGAATACATAATACAGGCGAGCTGTGTCACGCCGCCAAGAGCAGATTTCTAGTAATGAGATAGTAGCCTATGCACTTTGGTGTATGGCATGTTAAGAAGAAGAAGATAGATCCCAAAATTTTTATCTGGTGAGTAAGTTATTATATCCTACTCCTACAGCTAATTCCAATACCATCGTGCGAGATGGTTGAGTCTGTATTATCAACTTCGCCACGCAAGCCAGTACACAGTGACTCACATACGAAGGCTACGCTGCCAAGGACCTAGAGAAGATGATGACAACGTCTGCGGCATATGGAAGCGCAAGCTCAAGTTTAACTTGGGTGTGCATTAACACATGCGCCGCGCTGATCCTGACGCGTACAAATTAGGACAATCTACATTTTTTGTCGAACTTATCTTTTCAATAGTTTAATATTAATATAATTAAAGTTCGAAAATGTACGTAAAATACACCAAATTAAAATAAAACGAAAATCTTTTTTACTAAAATTTATTCTTTTTTCGCCCAAACAACGCACAACGTAACTTGTTTTACCAAATGATTTGGATGATTTTCTGGTTCACATACGGTATATATGTTTCTGACTTCCTGTAAGTACTCCTTCTTATATTCCTCAAGCTCCTCAGCTGGAATATGAGATAAAGTAGTGTTGACAGACGTGTAGAGACCTACAAACATATTTTAACATTTAAAAGGGCGTAAGACATTTTATAAGACAGTAAATAGAAAAATTTAATTTTAGTAAAAATATTCATATATATGAGTACAACCAACTTCAGCCAGTCGAAGAAAGTTACTACAGGGTCAAATAGATTACCATTTGGACATCCACCTAAAGTTCAACCTAAGAAAAGAAAAGATTCAAAAGACGTTACAATATTTTGTCTAACATCGCAGCAAATCAAACAAATGCAACTAAAAATGGCAAACAACATTGAATTTAGTTTTAAAAAGAACATTTTAAAAACTTTTTATTATTTATTTAAATAATATATTTTGTTTTATTTCCTATTGCACTGATTTACTCTTTTTAATAATACGTTAAAAAATATTTTAAAATCACTCTCCTTTTCAGATTTTTGAAAAGTCGTCTTTTTTGGTCTGCGAAGAATTAACATTCCGTATATAAATTTCTGAAATCTGAAATCATAAATGCAATTAATCATCTCAAAACAAATAAAAGCCCAGGTCCAGACGGAATATACCTAGAAACGTTAAAATTAATCAGCGAAGAAAATATCGAAATATTTGTCCTTTTATTCAATCGAATTTATGATACAGGTAAAATACCCCAAGATTGGCTGGAGTCAATATTCATCCCACTACCAAAAAAGCCAAACCCACAACACTGCAATGAGTTCCGTCTGATAAGCCTTATGAGTCATGCAGTAAAAGTCCTACTAAAAATCGTACATAATCATATCTATAGAAAGTGCGAAACAATCATCGGAGACGATCAGTTTAGATTCAGAGCCAGCATGAGAACGAGAGAAGCCCTATTCAGTTTACTAGTTCTCGTCCAAAAATGCTACGACCAACAGAAAGATATATTTATATGCTTTATAGACTTCGAAAAAGCATTTGATAGAGTAAGACACGACCTACTATTAGACCGTTTGCAAGAAGTCGGTTTAGATGGAAAAGACATCAAATTCTTAAAAAACTTGTACTGGAACCAAAACGCCAGAGTTAGGATCGAAGGTTCCACATCCGCAGAAGTAGAAATTAGGAGGGGAGTTAGACAAGGATGTGTTCTGTCGCCTCTGCTATTTAATCTTTACTCCGAGTTTCTATTTAAAGAAGCATTGGAGGATTCCAAGGATGGAATCAATGTGAATGGCGTAAATATCAACAGTATCAGATACGCCGATGATACAGTGTTAATTGCGGATTCCGACTTAGATCGACAACGACTCATCGACAAGACCAACTGGACCTGTGATCAATTATGTGAGTATGAAAATAAACATTAAAAAAACCAAAGTGATGTCAATCCGAAAAAACCAAAACGTACCTCAACCTTGCACAATAAATGGGCACATTTTAGAACAGGTCAATAGATTTAAGTATCTGGGATGTTGGATCGATAGCAGCCTAAATCCTGATCTAGAAATAAGATCGAGAATAGAACAGGCCAGAAAATCTTTCGAAAAAATAAAAAAAACTGCTTTGTGATTCTCGAATAAAACTCGAAATTCGACTACGTTTATAAAAATGCACGTCTGGTCGACTCTTCTATATGCAGTTGAAACGTAGATCCTTAAAACGTCAACCGTAAATAAATTGGAGGCCTTTGAAATGTGGATCTACCGGAGAATACTCAAAATTTCATGAACATCGCATACCTCAAACGAAAAAGTGCTGCAAAAGGAAAGAGAACTTTTTAACACAGTAAAAGTTAGAAAAACATCATACCTAGGCCACATACTGAGAAATAATAAGTACAATATGCCCAACTTATAGTGAAAGGAAAAATCGAGGGAAAGGGAGGCCTAGGAAGGAAAGGACTATCGTGGCTCAGAAACATCCGACAATGGACAGGGCTAAATTTTGAACAGCTAATAAGCTGAATATAAAGAAGAGTTTAAAATTATAGTAGCCAACCTCCTCCACTTTAAGAAGAAGAAGATATGAATTTCACACCAAAGTAACATTCCGTTTGTTCTCAATTAATTCCATCAAAAGTCTTCTCCTGTAGTGACTTTTCAAACTCTTGATATCACTTTGGTCCATGGGCTGAAGGACACTTGTTGTGTTTGCTGGCAGAAAACAAAGTTCAATGTTTTGAAGGTCGCACAGTACAGGATGAGCAGGAGAATTGCCAACAAGCAGAAGAATTTTTTTTTCTGTTAAGATCGATATCCCACTTTCTTATAGCTTCTTCAAAAATTTCTGAAGTCATCCACCCACTCTTGTTTGCTTTATAGGTCACCGGTAGGTTGTTTTATGTTTTTAAAGCAACGTGAGTTTTCGACTTCCCTATCACTAACAATTTTCGCTTCCCCGAACCTTTCATGTTGGCGGCTACGAAAACTGTAATGCGTTCCTTAGAAAGCTTTCTACCAACGAACTTATCCGATTTAAATTTTAGAGCTCTGTTTGGTGTCATTTTAAAAAACAATCCAGTCTCATCAGCATTGAAAATATCGTCTGACGCATATCTTGCCTTTAGTCCAAGCCACATGTTTTCTAGCCAATCATCCGTTATGTTTTTATTCATCGTGTGAGCCTTTCCGCTGATTTTCCCATAGTTGATCTTGTGCCGCAGCTTCCAATTGCTCAGCCAACCCTCAGATGCCTTGAAATTCTTAATTCCAAGCTCAGTTGCAAAAAAACTGCTGGAACCACTGTAGCATAGTGCGATCTAAATCTTCGTGCTGAGGTTTCCTCAACTTCTTCCGCCTTCTTCTTCTTCTTCCAATAACAAAACAACCGCTAGACAATGACCTTGCCACTTGTGACTCAGGTAGTCTGAACTTAAAACACAATAACACATTTGTCATCGACTATTGAACGCTGAAAAGTCATCGCTATAAAGAGAAAACGATATCGGTACAGAGAAAGAATTAATACATTGTCCTTATGATGAACCAACCAACGTTTACTATTTTCATCGTTAAAGAGGAATTATCGTTATATAGGGAATCGTTATAAAGAGAGACTACTGTATATATATATATATATATATATATATATATATATATATATGTACATATATATATATATATATATATATTATATTTATACATATATATACATATCTTTATATATATATATATATATATATATATTATATATATATATATATATATATATATATATATATATATATATAATATATATAAATAGAAGTAAGAGTATCTGCATAAAAATTACCTTTTAAACTTTCTTCACTTTCAAAATTATATGGCATATCTTCCTCCATATATTTAATATTCTGGAAACCAGCTGCTTTTAGATCTGCTGTAATATATTCTTTAGGTTCTGGTTTATCGTAATAAGGATGCAACATCTTTTTTTGGTTATATTGTGCCTTTCCCCACTTGGATGCTCTGCTCAATTTTAGGAATACTTCGTCGCAGGGAGTGTGTTTAAAAAAGGTTTGGAAGGTTTCACCACCATCGTTGAGCATTCTAAATGTGTTTTTAAACGTCTGTCTACAATTTAAAAAACGCAGATGATTATAAATTTTAAAAATTTTCTTCTTTATGAATCATTTTTAAATGTAATAAATCGTTGTTCTGTAAGATTTAGGCTAAAATTATACTTGCATGGAATATTGTAATTTTAATTTGTTCGTTGTAAGTGATATTTATACTTAATTATTGTTAACATCAATTAAAGAAGAAAAGCCTATAATAAGATAAACAGATCAAATTTAAAGAAAGACAAAACATCGATTTCGATGTAAAATTAAATCTGCTATGTTAAAAAGGACGAGCTGTTGTCAATAAGCGCTAAAATTTTCCTCTCTTTATATATAAAAAAGTTTGTTACATTGCATTAGCTCGTAATGTAAAATGTCTGGTCTTCCTTGTATGATCTCTTTGCTGGCTTCTGCAGACCTATTATCACGAAATAGTTCCGTAATATTCCACGCATCTATAATTTTCCTTTAATATTAGTTATAAGTTTTCAATTTGCATCATTTATGCTAGAAGAAAGGCAGCTAATTTTGGGCAGTTACCCAATTTCGGACACTACCCTATATGCTGTGCCAACTATATAACTCAGTATGATCTTGTTTCACTTATACATAAAATAAGTCAAATCGTCTGCTTTTTGTTGTAATTAATAAAAATTACATCCAATAAAAAAATATATAGGTATATAATTTTTCGGATAGGTATCCGAAATTAGGAAACTTGGTAGAATGAAACTTCGGCTTATTGCCAAAACACAACATCCGACAAAAAATTCAAAATGGAGTTAATTGTACAATCATCATAATTTGTATTTTCTCTTTTTATTCTGACAAAACCCTAGAACTGATTCGCAATATGTCAGCAAAATTAGGATAAATACTAAATAGCCAATAGCACAGCCACCTTTACTTCCAAGCCATGAAGTAAAAAAGGCAACACTGCATTCTATGACGTCGGTAGTCCGATAATCAGCTGTAAGGTCTACCAGAATATTAAACTAATTTGAATTTTAGGAAACTGATATTTTGAAAACTTCAATTCATTACAGAAATATTTTTAGGGAAATTAAATTAATAAAACCTTATATATACCTAGTAAATATATATAAAGTTTTATTATTATTTAGGTTATATTATCAATAAAATAATCACTGGAGTAAAATTTATTGCACTTAAAATACAGTGTCAAACAGTTAAATTAAAAACAAATTTTAAATATGAATGGGTTTGTTGTCATATAGACCAAGTTAAAAGAGGTATACATGAAAAATGTGTTGAATGTAACATACCATTTATAACTTGTATATGGATTTAAAAAAGCCTATATTCTCAAAACATTTTTGAATGTAATACTCAAATTTGTTATCACTTATCTAAAAAGCAGATCTAAATAAGAAAGTAAGTTCTCTAATTGTGACCATCTTGTTAATTTACTATATTGTAAAATCCATTTCAAATCATTACCACTTAATCTATTCTTACCTACATTGACAATTACACTAAAATTACTGCTAACTATTACACTACACATTACACAAATATTATCACACTTGTGTCCCAACTGATTAATGTTTAATACATAGAAATATACACAGTCACTTGTAATTTTACTTGTCCAGTTTTTCAATGGGATATTATTGTCTAAGTCTAATTGACATAATTATGTTATCTCTTGTTCCCTCTTCTTATGCAAAAAGTTTCTTCTGTCTTCGGGATTCATTTTTTCTTTAGTACGATGAACAGTTACATATGATGGTACTTCAGGAAATATATTAGGAACTGCATTGCCTTTTAATTTGGGAAATATTAACTTTTCAATGTGTACATTTCCATCTTTATCTTCTCATTGTTCAGTCCGCTGAATATCATCTTCATGAAAATGTTTGGCACATACTACGGAAGATTTGGCAATTGTACAGCCTTCTCTATGAATAGAGCATAACCCAGTATACCTTCTTTGGGGATCTTTGGGAAACAAAAAGATACTTTCTGCCTGTTTCATTTTTAAAGTACTGGCATAATTGGTTTTGCAACCAGGTACACAACAATGCCAGAGCATCTGTAACAAAAAACAAAAGTATTATTATTATTGTTTTTAGTTTACATATTTTGTAACAAGAAGCAAAAGTATTATTATTTTCAGTTTGTTTTGTAGGTTATATTTATACTTGCCTTTTAAATTGTTGTTAAGAATCTTCTAAAAGTTCTAAATTTAATGAAATTTCACTTATATTAATATTTTATAATTGATTTAAACACAATTTACAAATAAAACGTTCGAATAAAGTTAAAAAAACAATAAATTCAACAAATTTTACAAGCCTTCCTATCTGAAATGTTAAACCAAAACAAACCGCAGTCGGACTACCACGCGTTGTTGCCAAATTTCTACTTCATGGCTTGGAAGTAAAGGTGGCTGTGCCAATAGCCAAAATTAGGATAAATTGAAAATACCCTGCAGCCAGTAAATGAGGAAAGATACCTAATTTCGGGCAGTTACCCAACGTACTAGTATGTTTCACAGGAACTAACAGGCAACTCGACCAATTTTTATCGTATTTTAATTCACTTCATAGTCATATTGAATTTACAATAGAAACAGAACAAAATCAATTTATAAATTTTTTAGATTTAAAAATTATCAGATTTAAAAACAAACATGACTTCTCCATATTTCACAAACCTACCCATACTGACACGACTATACACAATTCATCATCCCATCCAACACAACATAAACTGGCAGCATATCATAGTATGTTACATATATTAACAGAAATTCCGATGTCAAAATACAACTTTGAGACAGAATTAAGTATAATTAAGCAATGAGCAGTAAACAACGGATACAATGAACAAACAATTAATAAAATGTTAAATCAAAAACTACACAAGAAAGCCCTGACCAGAGAAAAAACCCAGTACCTTCTGTTCGATTACATATACAGGCAAAATTACAACAAAAATAACCAAACACATAAAAAAGAAAGGAATAACACCAGCTTTCCGAACAAATAACAACCTAGGCGAATATATCAAAAACAACAAGAGCCAAAATAAAAAACACTTACACAGTGGTGTGTACAAAGTTAAATGTGGCTACAGCCCAAAAATTTACATCGGTCAAACTGGTAGAAACTTTAACAAACGAATAGCAATAAAAGGGCTTTCAATAATAGAAAAACAGATTCTACATACGCACTTCACCTTCTAGATCACAATCATTCTTTTAACGACGAATTTAAAATTCTTCACATCCAAAATAAAGGCCTTAAGCTATCCTTGTTAGAATCTGTGGAAATCAACAAATTAAAAAACACAGATATAATTCTGAATGACTAACTTGAGACAAACAGTTCTCCCCTCCTCAATCTATTTCATTAGAGACTATAAAGTGTAAACGCATGCCAAAAATAGATCACTTGAGAAAGGCAATCAGCCGAAACAGCTGTAGTTGTAAGAGTTAAAATAAATTTTTGTGGAAGTTTGCAAACAAAGTTTTCAGTGTTATATTGTTACATAAATAAACATTAAATATTTAATTTAAATTGGAACTTACTTTGGATTATTTATTAAATGAATTGTCATAATACTAAATACATTATCGAATCGATTTTGGAACAAATCTGGTAAGTCCGGTGATGACGTATCTAAACAATAAAATTTGCTTCTTGGAATATTTGCGTTTTTTCGAGCTCGTTCCACCATAGGTTCAGAGATATCCACCGCTACAAACTCCTTATAATCATGAGGAAGTAGAGGCTGTAGAGTCTGTTTTGAATTCTCACCACTAGCGAAGCCGAATTCTAGAATTGATGGATTCTTTTTGAAATTTAATAAATTTTTGTATTTCTTTAGAAGAGACTTTGTAATGTTTACATTATTGGTGGATAGTTTTGCATATAACTCAGGAAGTATCATCGCCATTTTTATATTGTTGTTATAACTTCGAGTTTGGAATTAATTAGCAATGATTGTGTGATAATAATTTATCCTTTTTAGTTACCTGAAAATACCAAATTTTTAATTTTTATTATAATATTTTTGTTGTTGTGGTATACATACATAACTAATAAAAAAACTAAACCACCAAAATGCTCTAAATATATTGTATATTCATCAGAGAGTTGTACCTTAATCATACGAAAAAGGTAAATTTTGCTGAGCATAATAGTTTGAAACCACAAAAAAAGATGCAAAAAAATTGACTACTGCTACCCCTGGGCTTCCTCCTATAACCTCCCTCGCTGTGGAGGGAGTAAAATCGCAAAAAAATCGATTTACTAAAAATCTATACGCCGCAGAAAGAAATGGTTCAAATAAGAAATGTAGTTGAAATCATTTTAAACAAAAATATATTAGAACTTTAAGTGTAGAATGAGGAAGTGTCATAACAGAAAGCGGAGGTACAGAAAAAGATATTCGTATGAGGATACGAAAAGCGCAACAAGTTTTCAGCATGCTCAACCCTGTTTGGAGGTCTGGAGACTACACTACGAGGACAAAGATCCGCATATTCCACTCAAATGTCATGTCTGTACTACTTTACGGATGTGAAACCTGGAAAGCGACAAAAACCCTTACAGACAAACTGCAGGTCTTTGTTAATAAATGTCTACGAAGAATTGTTCGTATTTTCTGGCCTAACATCATCAGAAACGAAGATGTACTACACCTGACCAAACAAAAGAGGGTAGTAAATGAAATAAAGTCCAGAAAGTGGGGTTGGATCGGTCACACACTCCGAAAAAATAACTCCAGTATTGCAAAGACTGCCCTAGAGTGGAATCAAGGAAAACGAAAAAAAGGTCGCCCAGTACAAACTTGGAGAAGATCCATCATGGACGAGATAAGAAAACAAGGAAAGTCTTGGAATGAGGTGAAGGCCTTAGCGCAAAATAGAACCCGATGGCGCGTTTTCACTGAAGCTCTATGCTCCACTTAGGAGTTCAAGAACCTTATATATATATATATATATATATATATATATATATATATATATATATATATATATATATATATATATATATATATAAGTGTAGAATGAACCGTTCTCTCAGAAACAATGCTTGAAGAAACCATCGATTTTAACTGTCAGTGTCACTTAACAAGAATGTGTGCTCAAATACAATGAAACAGAACAAACTGTTACTGGTTTCGCACCATCATACTTAATGTATGGCAAAAATATTGCAATGTTGCCAAATGAACTAAAATAATTAACTAACCTAAAGATTGGATTTGTAATAGAAATATTGCTCTAGATATAATGATCAAATCTCATAATTATAATAAACAAATTTTTGACGAAAACCGTAAACATTTTTATTTCAAGATAGATGATTTGATATTTGTGGATAATAAAACAAATTAAACAGGAACAAACTTGACAAACTGAAAATAGGACCTTATGAAATTAAGGAAAAATTGTCAAATTCAAGAATAAACCTGAACCGAAGAAAATGAGAGTCCAATCTCTTCCACATATCCAAGCTGACTCCAATCTCAACATCTGAAGATGAAGAAGACGGAGACGATTACTAAACTTTTGAAGGCATAAATATTTTCTCCTCTGGGAACGGGGATGTAGTGAAATTATAATTTCACCATTCAAATATTGCCGCACTCTACCGAGCACATTAGCTGGAATATTAGACACAGCCACTTCTGTCATCTTTATATTTTTTTAAAATTTGTTGGATTTTATTTGTAGTTAAACATTGAGAGTTAGTGACATTGAATGCCGTTTTTTTATTTAAAAAAAATTGTGTAAATAATGTAAATAGACCATGCTTTATTAAATCTTTAATTCCAGAAACTCATCAAATAACAAAGTTTTGTTACCAATCATCAAAAGGAACCTTATATATTTCCCAAAATTTGTATAATAACCTTTGTTGAAAACGATTTCCGGAGTAGAAATCAAAACGTCAAAACATTGGGGGCCGATTGTTCGAACACTAATTAACACTTGATTGAAATCAAATATTTAATTAAAATCAAATACGTCACATTTTGAGATTATATTGACTGATTTATTTTATTAAATTTTATTATTTTGTGTTTTAATTTAAAATAAACCATAATTAAACTCTTTCTGACGTTAATTTCATGTAAAAATTTACTAATAAGTAATAATATTAAGCAATTTTTAATAATTTTGACAGCTGATGTGACATATTTGATTGTAATTAAATATTTGATGACAATCAACTTTAGATTAGAGCGTTCGAACAATCGGCCTTAATGGTTAAAAGTGTGATTTTCGTCACACCAATATAATTTTGGCTTGATTCTACGTAAACATAATATTTAAATTAAACATGCACAAGAAAGTTGTTGTTAAGGTATAGCATAGATAAACTTAGTTTTAAAAAACAAAAATCGCTCACTGTCTAATTAATGTCATGTCATCTTCAAGATAAACAAGAACACCCGCTACATCACAAAATTTACATAACACAAATAAAAATGTATAAAAGGCCCGTCAGGCACTCTATACCAGCCAGCAGGCATAGGCCCTTCAGGCAGATCCAATTGATCAAACGCGGACTCTGAGCATCGAGGTCATGTGCGGCAAGCATGGGCTCGGTGGCCAGGACTCACTTCTCGAACACCCAGTCAGCGAGGAAAACAAATTTTTTATTTTGTCAAATCGGCGACTGAGTGAACGAGCACACACATTCTTTTCCAGACAGAGAGCTGTCTGTCTAGACCGATGGCTCTCTGTCTGGAACACACGCTTTTTTTAGGGACATGAGTCCCGAAGTAAAGCTAGAGTAACTTCTATAGAGTCAATAAAGTTAAATAGGGAGAAAAGCCGACATGTGTGCTACCCCTACAGTTAGGTGGCCTAACCACAGTCATTAAAAATAGAAGGTGTCTCATTACCAAAGACACTTTACGTAACATTCAGATCATAAGCCTCCTCACGTAAGTCACACGCTGAGGAGGGGTGGAGGAAAAGCCTGGTGGTCAGATAGATACCACCTCAACTAGTGAGGTGTGACAAGTTTGATTTTCGGACATGTGGATCTCACTCCTACAGTGGTATAAACATGTCCCTAGGGGTAGGGTTGATCGCCTCGCGTGATTGTGTGTTAAAGTTGTTGCAGAACCTTGTTAAACATAGTACATTCTAACTTTTTTTATAGTTTTTACTTTACTAATATCGTTTTCAATTATGTAAATGAACATTATATGAAAAGGTTATACAGGGTGTTTCAAAAAGGTATGTCATAAATTAAATCAGGCATTCCGGGGACAAAAATAAATTAATTGAATCCAACTCACCTTAGTGCAAAAGTGTACACAAAAAAAGTTACAGTCCTTTGAAGTTACAAAACATAAATTGTTTTTTTTGCATTATCTTCTAAACTACTTGACATTTTATAATAAAAATGGACACGTTACTTTCTTGTTCTAAAAGCATGTTTCATACAAAAGTAATAACAAAATCTAAGCGCACAGCCTCAAATCCCCCAAAACTTTCGAGTGCGTTCAAAGCATTTGATTTGAATTTTGTGGCCTCATTAGTTTAACACATTGGTTTTTAAACTTATTTGCCTCTTATCACTTTTTCGAAAAACTAGTTTTTTCCTAGTTTGTCATAAAATTACAATTAGTTTCTACGTATACAATAATTACAAATAGTTCCATCAATAATAGTCAATACTTTGAAGCTATCATTTATTGTGACAAATTATTCTTATTCCAAATAATAATATAATATTATAATAAAGATCACACGGAAAGTATCTTTATATCGCCCAATAAGCTTGTTATCATTATATCCAAAGTATTTGAAAGGCTTTTTCTGAGAAGACTGGAGATTATTTTATATGACAGTAATATTTTACCGAATTATCAATTTGGGAGACAACATGGTACCATCGAGCAAATTCCTAGGGTGGTAAAGACCATAAGAAATTTGCTCGAACAAAAAAATTACTGTACTGCTGCATTTTTAGATGTCTCTCAAGCATTCGACAAAGTTTGGCATGTAGGTCTTATCTCTAAAATTAAATCCTTATTTCCTCATCCCATAAGCTCACTTGTAAGATCCTACCTGACAGATCGATTCTTTCAAGTCAAAAGAAGTGGGGAAATCACTAACTTGTTTCCAATTTGTTCCGGAGTTCCACAAGGAAGCATACTAGTACCCACCCTCTACTTAATATACACATCAGATCTCCCAACGACGACCAATATAACAATCGCTACATATGCTGATGACACAGTTATCATGACTTCAAATTCTACAGCAACTGAAGCATCCCAGGTATTACAAAACCACCTACTTAAACTAGAGAGCTGGCTTAAACTGTGGCGAGTCCAAGTTAATAGTTTAAAATCAACACAAATAACGTTTACTTAAAAAAAAGGTGTCGCGCCACCAGTTTCTATAAACAACACTCCGCTATCAGTTAATACCGTCGTTAAATACTTGGGAATTCATTTGGATAGCAAACTTAATTGGGGTATTCACATCTGAAAGAAACGCCTTCAACTCAGCTTAATCTTCAGGAAAATATATTGGTACATGAGTCGAAAATCTAATATAAGCCTGGAGAACAAACTTCTAATATATAAATGTATTTTAAAACCGGTATGGCAATATGCAGCACAAATCTGGGGTACTGCAAGTAATACCAACATACAAAAACTTCAACGATTCCAATCGAAAGTACTGCGCCAAATCTGCAATGCCTCTTGGTATATTACGAACCACAGATTACACCACAAGAGAAAGTGTATTCTGTAACAATAGAGGACGAGCAACAATTGAGGTTAAGAATAATTGAAGCTGCAAATCAATTTCGTCAGAAAAATATGATTTTTCAGCGCATTCGGATTTTCTTATTAAAACGATACCGAATGGGTATTGAAGAAAATGGGGGTAATGTTAAAAATTTATTGTAATAATATATTTATAGAGGTTATAGATATTTTTTGTACTTGTTAATCCATTTAAGCCATTTAGTTAGTTACACGTAATTTTTTAAGGGTTGATTAAAAAGGGCCATAACTCAATAAAGACTGTTTTTTGCAAAAAATGATGAGACACAAAAAAATTTTAAAAATAATGTGTTAAACTAATGGTGCCACCAAATGTATTTGATTTGAACGTACTCAAATGTTTAGGGGGATTTAGGGCTGCACACCTCCCTTAAAATTTTTCTGTGCTCTTAGATTTTGTTGGTTCTTTTTTATGAAAAATACTTTCTAAACAAGAAAAAAATGATCCATTTGTATTACAAAATGTCGAGTAGTTTAGGAGATAATGCAAAAAAAACGCGTTAGATCACCAAAAATGAAGTTATCATGCATGAAAACAATAAGGAGACATTTTTTGCAGACCAGTATAATACTGTGTAATATTGTGTCGAACAAACCTTGCGTCCCAAAATGTTTCAGATAATTTTCACAGCACTACAAATTACTCCACTTCGTTGTTGAATACACCAACTTGTTGAGTCTCAATTTGAAGATCACCGAATTATATATTTGATCATATTAACCTTGAATCATTTGTGGTAGATTTTATTGGAACATTAATTGGAACAATAATTGACATGATAGTATATTATTTTTATTATTGATTTAAAAATTTCTAAACACCTAGATAAGCATATAATAGATCACTTTACGCATAATTTGTTAATAACTGAACTAGATCATGTCAAAATAATCTCACTTATAATTGGCTAAAAAAAATAAAATTCGGTTCGGGTCTTAATAACGTTCTGGCCTATTTTTTAGAGTTTAATTAATGAATAATAATTATTTATTACTTTATCAAGTCCTATATTAAAATATGTTATACATAAAATATTATAGGCAATTTTGGTTTCGAAAACCACAATTTGCAAGGAACAAGACTGCTACTTAAAACTAAAGACATCAGCAATAAAGTAAATCACATTAGTAAGGTCAGCTTAAATATTGATAAGTAAAGTTTGAATGGGGATCCACAAAAGCTGACAATAGAATACAAGACAAGACTTGGGACAGTAAAAAATGTCCACAAAAAGAACATCTTAAGTAAACAATGGCGAAGAAAGAATATTATTTATCTTTGCAAAAATTTCTTGGTGTAGAGTGGTTGATAGTTTTATATATTTAATCTCATCATTAAAAAGAAAACTGTTAACAGGAAATTTGAAGACGTAGTCACATGGACAAAACAGCTATATCCAACTTTATCAAAATATAAAATACAAGAAAAGATACTTGGATAAATCTTATAAAAATCCTGGTTTTCTTAATATTAAATTAACCGTCCGGAAGCTGGACCCTGAGAATAATCAATGGGAAAAAAAATTAAATCCCGTAAGATGCAGTGCTATAATTTAACGTCATGCTGGACACAGTAAGACTCGCCGCACTAAGATATCTGCAGGTTTTCCTGATATTGCTAAACAAACTGCTTAAACAACTGCAGTTTCCAAGAATGTTGAAAGAAGCTAAGGTTGTCCTTATTCCGAAAGGTGGAGCTGAAGAGAAAGAGATGTGATTTCGGCCAATTTGCCTTCTAAGTTCGATAATTAAATTGTACGAACAGCTTGTAAAATGCCGCATTGAGCGAGAGTTATAAGAAAAACAAGCACTGAGCAACCGCCAATATAGTTTTAGGGCCAAAAGGTCCACCATAGATGTGGTCACAGAAGTAATCTCCTTAGTTACGCAAAATACAAAGAGATGGGTGGCTCTTATCCTGCGTGACGTCAAAAATGCCTTTAATACAGCATCATGGGAGAAAATCATGTCCAGGATGAGAGAATTGATACCACCATCAGATTGTAGCAGGGTGTTCCGCAGGGTTCAGTAATAGGTCCTGTTCTGTGGAATGTCCTGTACGATGGAGTGTTGAGGCTACAGATGCCAAGGGGGTACACTCTTGTAGCTTATGCCGATGATCTCGCACTGGTTGCGAACGCGGGTCAAAAAACGTACATGGCTAATGCGACTAACTCAGCCTGCGTCGCATTAGTAGGTGGATCAGAGAAAACGATTTACAGCTAGCGCCTCAGAAACTAAGGTGTTAGTTCTCAAACGGATCAAGGAAAAATCGTCTCTTCGTTTTATAGTGGAAGGTGTGGAGGTTACACCAGTTAAATCGATTAAGTATCTGGGAGTGTGGTTATCGGAAGGACTAAGGTTTGGACTACACATCCAAAAAAAGGTAGAGAAGGCGGACCGAAATCTGGAGGCGTTAATACGGCAGATGTCAAACATTAGAGGCCCAGGACAGTTTCAAATGAGGCTCTATATGTCATTGGAGCGGTGATATCGATCCTTTTGTTCAAAGAGCGAGCGAGGATGTGTGCTAGGAGAATGGATGTAAATATAGATGAGAATGAGAGAAAAAGAGCGATAGTAGAGTGGCAGAGAGAATGGACGTATCATAGCGGAAAGGCAAGGTGGGCGAAGGTTTTCATTCCCGATCTGTACCGTGATGGAAATGTAAGTTCAGGAAACAAGACTACTTCCTGATGCAGTTTCTGACCGGACATGGTAGTTTTGTCACCTTCACAAATAGAATAGGCAAATCTTCCTAGACTGTACTGTTTGTGGGGTACTGGACGCACCCGTATATATTTTTAACTGCCAGAGATGGGCAAACGAGAGGTAAGATTTTGAGAGGCGAATGGGTTTCGGGCTGGATGAAAGAAACATGGTAAACGTAATATTGGGAGAAGAAAAAAAATGGAGAGAAGTACATTGTCTAATTTCTGGGGTGATGAAGAAAAAGGAGCAGGAGGACAGAGGACGAAATTGAGCCAGGGATCTGAAATTTATGGTTAATATTATTTATTAGTTTATGGCCTAATGTCTGAAACAATGTCTGATTTACGATAATAGTTATGGTTGTTTATAAATTTTTGGTTTTTTTTAATTTTGTTAGTTAGTTTTTTTAGTTTTGTTTAGTTGTTCATCGAGTGGCAAGGTTTTAGCAGGAACACGGTTAATCCGGCACTACCCTGGGGTCTTCTGGCTTAGTATCCCACTCGGCCAAAAGATACCAGGGTATCTTGTTCCGTGGCGTAGAGGTCCAAAAAAGATTTCCCTCACCGTTTCCTGTCAGAATTTGATGGATTTTTTCTTAGGCTGTTACTGGAATCTGGCAATACGGCAATTAAAAAAAATGTAGCGATAGAAAAGAATATTTTGAATTTATTGGACAGCCAAAAAGACAAATATTGTTGAGGAGGTTAACAATTCATTATGTCTCTGCAATTTTAGGACAAACAAAAAAGGGGTAGAGGACCATCATCAATAAAATTTAAATTAGCGCGTCGAGATTAGTAGGCCCATGGTTTGATTTGTCATTATTCTTCATTTCTTCTTATCCATTGCTTTCATCGTCCAATTTGTAACGTCTTTTAAGATCATCTTTTACATTTATTTTCTACCTCGGTCTGAGTCGACCTCTTCTCTAATATCCTTCTATTATACTTAAAAAAATCATTTTCGGTAGTCTATTCACTTGGAACCCTCTTTATGTTTCCCAGTCATCTTATTCGGTAGGTTCTTATTACTGGAATCCCCATCATAACTCTCTAAGATCTTCATTTGTACATCTAATCCTTTTTAAAATCTCATAAATACCATAGTATCAATAAAATATGCACATACTAAGTACGGAATTCAAATTCAATCCAGACAGTAGGCAGTAACCCTGTAGTTAGAAAGAGAGGTCTAATAATCTTATAATCCATGAAACCAGCGATTCGCCTATTTAAAACAGTGAGAATTTTTGCATTGCACAAAGAAATTTGCATTGGTATTTTTGTTGTGGAATTAAGTTAAATCTTAAATACAATATTATCTCCAGTTAAATTTATGTTGCAGCCTGTAGTAAACTCAGCTAATTAATAACAGATCTGCATTGTTTAATTTATCTTACAATCTTCCTTTCTTTTGGGAATCATCATCATTATCACCCAGTCCTTTGCCTCCACTACTGGACATTAACCTCTTTCATTTTTGTCCATTGTGCTCTATCTTGAGCACATTTTATCCAATTTCTTGACATTTTCTTAAGATTGTCAGTCCAACGAGTAGGTGGGTCTTCCTCTAGTTCTTTTGTCTAGCCTAATCCACTACTCAAGCAAATCTCTTCATCACTGATTCAGGCGACGTGTCCGGCCCAGTTCCATTTCAGTATGGCAATTCGGAAACTTACATCGGTAACTCCTGTTCTTCGTCTTAAGTGTTCATTTCTGACTCGGTCACGAAGCGATATACTCAGCAGTGACCTTTTCATTTTCCTCTGAGCTATTTGCAGCGTTTTAGAACTTGTAGCTGTCAATGTCACAGTTTCGGCACCATAGGTCATCACAGGCAACACATTTTGGTTAAATGATTTACATTTTAACGAAATTGGTATATCGCTTTTACAAAGGACCACATCCTTTGAGTTTTTCATAGGCTGCCCATGCTAGGTTTATTCTTCTTCGTAGTTCGCATGTTTGTTTGTCTCTTGTGATCTTTATTTGGTGTCCAAGATATATGTATTCTTCCACCAGCTCTACTTCGTTGTCTTCAATATTGATATTTCCGCTAGGTACTAGGTTTGTCATGAATTTTGTTTTGGAGATTTTTATTTCAATACCCACATTGGCACACACTAACTGAAGTGCATGTAACAATGTACATATCTGCTTGAAGTTGTCCGAGAACAAAACTATGTCGTCTGCGAATTTTAAATTTGTTAATCTTCTACCGTCAATGTTCAGGATTTCTTTTCCTAATTATGTTTTTTACAAGCATGTTTTAGTACTGCGGTAAACAGTTTAGGCGATAAGGTATTAAATGAATGAATGAAATGAGGTTGAATGCTCGAGTAAATGAACTTTGAAAATAAGGCTATTATCGAGCACAAGTTAATTAAATCAAGCCCAAGTACTTTCGCTTAAAATAGCATCTTCAGGGGCATCTGAAATAAGCCAAGAAAACGTTTTTTAGGTGAAGTAAATTAGTTAACTTCGATAAAAAACTCAATCTAGCTATCTACTAGAATATCAGAACATTTAAAAAGACCAAACTCTTCAAGTTTTGGTCAACATTTAGAGTCTAGCAAACACAATTTCAACATCAATACTGGGTCATCCATTTTGCATGACATCAGTAGAAAGAAAAACTATTTGGAGTTGGATCTATTGGAAGATTTGGAAATCACAAAGGAAACGAATGGAAACTCTCATTGTCTTAATACTCAAATTAATTTAAACTGTACTAAATTAAAACCTATTTTTAAAAACTTTATTAGAGCTTCACCTCGTAGTGGACCCAACTCGGCTATCTAGACTTCCTGCACTGAGTTGATACATTAAGAATCTACCAATTTCAAGCTCTGTTCAGCATTACTATTATATTTAACAATTTACACAACTAGCTTGCTCAGATTCAATTGGTCCACAGTTGGAGTTGATTTCACTCTTCATACCTCTGC